AATTTGCCCCTTTTTGTGAAGCTTATTAATTATAAGTTGTTTGTTGTAGCGAATCGTACAATCTTCCGTGTAATTGTCGAACAATTGTCAAGCTGGAGCTAATAAATACGTATGTTGGAGTCAATGTGTACGAAGGCTCGACTATTTATGTAGTTGGAGACTACACGGGGGCTGCCACCGCTAAAGCTCTATCGCCCATGGTCTTTTTAGTTTTAAAAATTGGTGGCTGTAATAAATGCTCATTGCTAGAGAGTAAACCACACCTAGAGGGCTCTCTGATCTTAATCAATGAAGAAATGTATACTGGAGCGTTTCCATGTGTATCTTTAAAAGTAATAACTCGTATTTTAAAGTTAATTCTAAACTAAACTGGTAACAAGTGTAAAGAAACTAAAATAGGTTTTATATGACAAAAACGAGGAGCACAACAAATAAGCCTAGCTGCTGTGTTTCGTACTCTTTGCAGCTTATTTAAATGAGTGGCGGGAAGCCCATAGAGAAGACTATTGCAATAATCTATTCTACCCATTATACCTATGATTTGTACTGAAGATTTTTTTTCTATCTAAAGGACTCGTGTGATGAATCAAGTGATGATGAATCTGATGCAAGCAGTGATAACGAAGATGAGGTAAATAATGACGTGAATGAAGCAGACAACTATTTATTCACGATTACAGCAGAGGAGTTTCACARCAACCGTGTTTTAGACCAAAGCAATAAAAACACAACCTCTCTTGGTGAAAGAACTTTGAATGTTGTTCCTTTACTATACGATAGCCGCCATGAAAATCCTCTTATATATATTCACTATTGATTCTTGTTTGCCAAGTCATTTCTTGTGAACAATTTTWCATGTTAACATTGAACTGAGTCAGATGAATTTGAAGAGCCCATTGTCCCTTTATGTCACCTTCATATTGTAACAGTTTCCAATTTTTATTTGCAGAAAAAGCTGGAAGGTCTATTTGGTATTGCTGATATTCTTGACGATCAATTGAGGATCCTTTTTGATTCCCATGCATTCCAGGTACACCCCTTTGTTGTTGTTTTTTTTTTTCAAATATTTTTTGGAAAGCAAATTTCTTGGCTTTACTGAAATTTCGCATGCGTTATTTCTACAAAATACAGGGTTTTGACGCGGATCATTGGGATACTCGCTGAACCAGTAATTTGGTATTCATATATGTGTCTTATTCAATTACAAAGCTTTATACGAGTTTCCAGTAATAATGATGGAGAATTATATCTCGAAGATTTAGGTGGGCAATAAAAGCTTACTTCTTAAATGTTTCGCCCCATGTAAGGGAATCCGGACTTATGGTGGATTCCGGAATCCAAGCGCTGGATTACGGATTTCAAGGGTCTGGATTCCGGATTCCAAAACTTTTGTATTGCGGTTTCCGAATTCCATATCGTTAATTTTCAGATACTTTCTCTGAAAAGTATTTTGATATACTTGCCAGCATAAATAGAATCGTCTATCAATTAAATCAGCATCTGATGACAGATATTCTTGGTGGAGATATTACGCAGTGGGGGAGGGGCTATATCGGTTCCATCTAGGTCGAGGCGATAGCATCTGAGTGTATACTTTGAATTCCAAAGTAGCGGATTCCGGACTCCAAAAGGGTGGATTCCGGATTCCAAAGCCTAAAATTTCGTGGATTCCGGAATCCGGATTCCCTTACATGGGGCTAAATGTTGCAACGAAAAACAGTTTTGCAAGTTCACAGATCAGTTGATCGCATTCCAAAAAGAATAATTTGATGAAAAGAATACTTGGGAATTTTTTTAATGCAAAACAAGGTGAAATGATATATTTGATATCTGTGGGTGCTTGCGGTAATGCCGAATAATATTTCTATAAGGAGAGGCTAACTCTGAGTATATGCCTTTGTAATCAAGGTACTGGGCGGTATTTTAGGAATCCCGAAATATTCTATTTACGTTATTAGTTTTGGAGACACTATGAGCACAAAATCGAGGATTAGAGATTAGGCTTTTTAGGAGGAGGATATGTAAGTAACGGTACATTTATTTCAGTCGTTATGTTCAACGAATCTTCACACTATCATTGTATTTTTATATATTCGACATTACATCTAATCTTCGTTATTTAACAGTTTTATACCAAGTTCAATTGGGAAGTGGGACTAATGAATCAATTATAGACAGTTTTGCAAATGTACATTTTTTTATAGATTTATCCGAATATTTAACTTATGTAGATATTGTTATTTATTTTATTTACTTTTATTTTATTTATTTTTTATTTCATTTTATACAAATTTATATCATTGTAAATATTGAGTTTTTCAATTATCTGGATTGCAAATCAATTTTGTAAATAAAGATAACTAAAAAGATTATTTGAATGATTTGTACTGAAGAATTTTTTTCTCTCTCTAAAGGAATCGATTGATAAATCAAGTGATGACGAATCTGATCCAAGCAGTGATAACGAAGATGAGGTAAATAATGAAGTGAATAAAGGAAACCAKTATATATTCAGAACAAGGAACCCTAATGGAGCCTTCTCAAATTCCTGGGGTTTCTTTTCCAGCCTTTTATAGCGATACTGAAAATTTCATAACCTGATGCGTAAACAACTAGTAAGTAATATTTTTCTTATTGGTTTCTTTAGAATGTAACTCTCTACCACTACACCAATGACAATGGAGCTCAGGGTATCAGTAAAGACAAAATGATTAAGGCTTCTACTGACAAAAATAATGATGCAGTTTTTGAAGAAGGTAAAGATTAATTTACTAACCCATCCATAAATCTACTCATCCATCTACTCATTCACCCATCCATCCAATTCCAACCCCATAAAACAATACATACATATTACTCCTCATTCAGCCATCCATCCTTGCATTTACCCAAATTCAATCGCCTACCCATCTTACTCCTCATTCACCCATCCGAACCATGTCCAATCAACTTCCCATTCATTTACCTACCAATCCTAGTCCTCATTCAACCATAACACCATATCCACCCTACCCCCATTGAATCCCCTACCCTGTAGAAAATATTCTTGCCTTTCATAGATATCTATTTATTAGGAACTTCATGAAACTCAGATTCATTATCCCTTGTGTTGTTGCTTCCATAAGATAGAAATCTCGAATGTGTGCTGTGCTGATGTTTCGATGTGTTGCGTGTATCGATGCGTCGATGTATCGATGCGGTTCACTAAAAATACAATCAAAGAGATTCTTAGAATCAATCTGTGTGATCTAATACAAACTATAATAGACTTACCAAATGTGTCCCTATCGAATCCAAAAGAAAAACTCAATAACAACCTCCAATATTCCTCTTGATAACAAATTAAATTCATAACTAAAGTTCACGTGCTGTGTTAACTATCTTAGTACTACTTCTATAGTACCCGGTGTCTCTCAAACAAATCATCTGGGCCTGGTGACCTGTCGCGCATATACCCATCTTACTCCTCATTCACCCATGGCCATCAAACCATATCCAATCAACTCCCCCATTCATTCACCTACCCATCCTACTCCTCATTCAACCATAAACCCATATTCACCCTACCCCCATTCAATCGCCTACCCATCTTACTCCACACRCTTAACCACCTATCCACCTCTCCGCCACTTATCAATCCATCCTCGATCCACCTATAATGCTTATCTTATGCTTTTGTTACTTTTTCTCCCTCTCTTTTCCATATATGAGGTGTCTATTTGACTGCCATGGATCCTTACACCTACAGCAAAGAAGAAATAATACGCAATAACTATGACGATGGCCTTTCCGTTCACAAAAGCACTCGATTTCACGAYAAGGCTGACAGTGCTATTGAAGTTAGTATTCCAGTGAGCGAGGTGTCCAAGGTCGATAATACTGATCGCGATGTCTACTTGTACGATGGGCATCTCAACCTTGATGAATATGACCACTCCGTATTGAAAATTAATTGACTCGTCAAGCATGAATCTTTGGGGTGCAACGAAATAACTCAAAATCCCTTAAGACTATAAACAACAACCGCCATCTAAGGAGACAAGCTAGTTATGAGAAATGATTTGTTATAGTCAACGAAACAACCAAATAGCGACTATGACACAACGTGCACTCCCGGAAATTTTGGTAGATCAAAACACGTTGAAGTAATAATAGGTCATTTAGCTTAAATCCTTTTTTCTCACTSTTTTCAAACTTATTCAATTCGTTTAAGAGTTATGATTAATGTCTCCTATCAATATATAATCAAATCAAGCTAAGGCGCTTTAAGCCCCCTCTACACAAGCAATTTTTATGTGGCAATTTCTATGTGACAATTTTCATTTGCTCGTGTAGATGACAAAAATTGCGCGTTGGAAAGCTGGCGTCCTAGTTTTTATGTGGCAAATAAAAATAGCCGCACACCGAAAATTGACGAGACGACATATAAATGTGGCAACTATTTTGACGTCATCTGCGCATCTAATTAAACATGGCGGCTTCAGGAGAGAGAAGAAAAGAACGGCAAATGAAACTTGAAACCAAAACCGGAAAAAAGTTTTGAAATCCATTATGGTCTGTTTACCTCACTCTTTTACTAGATTATTAGCAAATTCTTGAGCCTCTCTACGTAATTGGGTTTTCCAGGGTTTTACCCCACATTTTCTAAGTATTTTTTGGTCTTTTCTATTAGTGATAAAATAAGTGATCACTGCAGCAGTATTTCTATTTCTTTTCTTTATTTGCACCATCTTCCTAAGTACCCTAGCCGGGCTTTCTTTCACAGGCATCTTCGCTGTCCGAAATTATTACTGACTCAAATTGAAACCAAATATTTGTCGATCGCCTACATGAGCAATTAAAAGTTGCCACACAAAAATTGCTCGTGTAGACGGAGCTTTACAATTGAGTTGTGAATAACTAATTTGCAAATGCTTCTATGTATTAATAAACCGAACTATCTAGGCATGCATAATATGTTCCTATTCAAAATCACGTGCTATTCTCTTGAGAATAAGGTTCTACTTTTCGTCAGAGTGGCTTTGAACAACAGGGCGCGGTTGTACAAAGCCTGGATAGCGCTATCCGGCGGATAAATCCTTATCCAGTGGATAAGTCGATACTGTTATCCAATAAATTTATCCACTGGATAAGATTTATCCGTTGAATAGCGCTATCCAGGCTTCGTACAACCCGGACCCAGGAACCACTAACTTAGGGACCAATTTGATAATGCTTTTCTTTTTCCTCAGGAATTTTGTTTTAGGCCCACCTAACATTCATTAGATTTATGTGCAAATATTATATTTTTGGAAATTGTGAAATTGAATAATTAAAATTACTATTTCTTGGTCGAAATGACCATATGAGGTGAATGTCACTTGATCTCTATGTTATCCATTTTATATCGCATTGACACCTGACTGACGGCTGCAGTTCACCCGCTTCCAACGAGACGAACAACGAACACTTGGTGTCATAAGTCACTTCAAAATTCAACAGCAAGTATAAGAAGCCAAAGAAAATTCAAACAATGTCCAAGGTAGGATGACAATCTCTTAAGTAAGTTTAACAATTAGCTTTAAGCGATGTACGTTTTCCTCGGATATGGAACACACGGATGTTCAGTATACGTACTGAACCTTGTTGGACGTCATATTTCACTTGCAGTTGAAAGGAATAATACAGTATTGAATGTTTTTGCTTCAGTTGAACTTCCTCACAATATACTGCTCTTCAGTAAGGTATACTTTATAGATTATATGTATAATATATGTACTGATTTATGACTATGAACATTGACTATTGTAGTATCGTTATAGAGTATACTGTTATTACAGTATATATTAAGGATTTTCTAAGTGAAATCACGTTCGTAAATAAATTATCAGTACAGTGACTCGACTGGTACCTCGTGCTGTTTGAGGAAAACGATATAACGATATTAAAGCAAACGAATTATTATGTTATTCCACTGAATAGAATAGCAATTTTTCTTTATCAAAAAAGTTAATGCTTATAGAAGTATTAGTGAGGCTCAGGGCATTTGAATTTAGTTTAAAAAAACTTTTTACATAAGCTGAAGCAACGTCATACCTCATCGAATTCCTGGAACTTGTTTCAGATGGAAGAGCAGWTCGGTTTAGCATTTCTTGGAAAAATATATTTAAAAATTATTCGCCGAAGGCCAAGTGAATATCGGGGATTATCACATAATGGGCAAAATTATTGGTAGTTCAGTTGCTTAGCAACGCTTATAAAATGTAAACTTTTCTTTCAATTTTTGCAAACAAAATGGCTTCCCGTTTCCGTTTTGCATTGGCAG